GCCTATGAGTGAGAACATGCGGTGTTTGATCTTCTGCTCCTCTGTCAGTTTGCTGAGAATGATGGTTTTTTAAACGTCCTCTGGAGTGATTGCTCTTTGACTCTGATACTGGATTGGCTGCTCGGTCTGCAACAGAGGCCCTTCCTCCCAGAGCTTTTCGCGGGCTTTTCAAACAAAGGATCACACCTGGAATTTTTACCTAGCCCTGGAGTGGGAAATTCAGACAAAGAACTTTAGGTTCCTGGATGGGGACATGGATGGAGGCATGATGCTGGAAAGCTCTTGCCTTTGAAACCATGCCTGTTGTGGGCCAGGGAAGAGAGGATTTTTTTCCTTGACACGGTCTCTCAGTAACTGATTGGTTAACTCTTGGTGGTAGAGATTAAAACAGAGGGAACTTAATTTTCATGTAGTTTGAAGAATGACACTGGTCTATTTGGGAAATTAGGCTGTTCTCTCTCCGTCTTGATTGTTAGAAAGGACAGAAAACAATTAAGTTTTGGTTTGGTAAGCACAGGTGACTTGATTTTGATTTTGAGTATGGTCTACTGAGGTCTAGTAGTTTAGGAGTTTATTCCAAAGCTACGGCCTCCTGTGATTTTCTTTTAAAAATATTTTATTGCACTTTAGGTTCTGGGGTACATGTGCAGAAAGACGCAGGATTGTTGCATAACTACATACATGGCAATGTGATTTGCTGCCTCCACCCCCGCCCCATCACCTATATCTGGCATTTCTCCCCATATTATCCCTCCCCAACCCCTGTACCCCCTGCTGTCGCTCCCCTATTCCCCCCCAACAGACCCCAGTGTGTGATGCTCCCCTCCCTGTATCCATGTGTTCTCATTGTTCAACACCCACCTGTGAGTGAGAACAGGTACTTCAAAAAAAAAAAGTACAGGTATATAGATATTATTTGTTTGATTTTCTGTTCTTTTGCCAGTTTGCTGAGAATGATGGTTTCCAGATTCATCGATGTCCCTACAAAGGACACGAACTCATCACTTTTTATGGATGCATAGTATACCATGGTGTACATGTGCCACATTTTCCTATCCAGTCTATCATCAATGGGCATTTGGGTTGGTTCCAGGTCTTTGCCATTGTAAACAGTGCCACAATGAACATACGTGTGCATGTGTCTTTATAATAGAATGATTTATAATCCTTTGGATATATACCCAGTAATGGGATTGTTGGGTCAAATGGAATTTCTATTGTGATTTTTGCTTAACACATGGTTTCAGCATTCTGGTTCCCCTGCTGTGACACATATCTTTCCTCTGTGTACCTCTACAGGTAAGTTTGGAAGCAACGGGAAGAGGGAAGGTTGGAACATTGGATCAGCCTGACAGATTCTCATTCATTTTTTGTTCTTTAGCACAGGTGCTTTCTCTGTCCAAAATACCTTTGTTTCCACAGCTTCCATGATGATTTCAGTTGCAGAGCTGCTGGAACTCTAGCTCTGGAAACATACCATGCAGTGTTCTTCTGATGTCAGCTTTCTTGGTGCCAGGACAGAGGATGGGGGAATAGATGCAGAATGTGTATGACACTGCAGGGTCCAGCTTCTAGGTAATGCCTGGGAATTAAGCAGAAGAAGGCCAAAGGACACAGATCAGGGTACCGAAGTCCAAGCATAAATCTGAGGAAATCATACAACAAAAATAGCTAGGATATGCAGTTAGAATAACAGGAACCAGTAAAGAAAATATACTTGATTCCTCAGGACATTTCTGATCCAGTCAGAAGCTTTTTATGCGATTCCTGCTTAGGTAGAAGGAGACAGTTGCAGAAAATACAGGGTGTGGAA